AGGAGCCTGCCGAGGAGTTACGAGAAGGGCGCACTCCATTGTCGCCGTCACGCACAGAGCTAGACATCCCACCGGGGGACTTCCTGGAGATGTCACTGAGCAGGACCTTGCCGGGATCGGCTTGCTTGGAATCGCCGGTGTTCTGCTGGCCATCGGACATGAGGAAGATGTTGGACGTGCGAACTTTGGCGGCAGCGTGACCAGAGTGGTGTCCAAGCCGGACTAGATGTTGGCCTAGGCGAGCTTCGTGACGGAGCATAGCAGGCAGTGCCTGGTGGCGGAGTGGAAAAAGGAAACAGCATAGAAGGGTCGACCGGGGTGAACTTCACTATCACGAATTGCATCGCCCTCTTCATGCTATGCATCTTGTCGCCCTGCGTGCTGTCCCTCACGTCCATCACCACTACCAGGTCATGCCCTTCCCGAACGACTGTCGACGAGGTGACGTTCGGGTCCACCTCCGTCGTTACCGCATCCATCGCCAATGCCGCCTTGTCCTTGTTGTATACGGCATCTTGATCGTCACCAGAGCCATTGGTGTTGCCTGCATTGGAAGTGCGAGGCTTCGCATCGTCGTTGAGCGCCATGGATTCGGTTGATAAAGAGAGGTAGTAGAGTAGGCACACCTGACAGCTAATAGAGTACGCACACCATGTATTGTAAGTGGGATCCCACTTATACCCATGACACCTATATAAGTTGTAGTGGGTTGTTAGTAGGGATGTAAATGGCAAATAAATGGTGTCCGCAAGTCCCATTTAATTAGTTTTACCTAGCTCCGTAGTTAATTTTTCTAGAAAGAAAAACAATTTTTTAAACTGCTAGATCACATAGTGGGTTAAAACGAGATTAAACGAGACCCGATTGACATCCCTAGTTGTTAGCTACTGCCTATCAAATCTGTTGGGACTAAGTGTGTGACGCCCCCGATTTGACCGTACACTAATCATACACGCAAACGTGTACGATCAAGATCAGGGACTTACGGGAAGATATCACAACACAGCTCTATAAATAAAATAAGTCATACAAGCATCATATTACAAGCCAAGGGCCTCGAGGGCTCGAATACAAGAGCTCGATCATAGACGAGTCAGCGGAAGCAACAATATATGAGTACAGACATAAGTTAAACAAGTTTGCCTTAAGAAGGCTAGCACAAACTAGGATATAGATCGAAAGAGGCGCAGGCCTCCTGCCTGGGATCCTCCTAAACTACTCCTGGTCGTCGTCAGCGGGCTGCACGTAGTAGTAGGCACCTCCCGAGTAGTAGTAGTCGTCATCGACGGTGGCGTCTAGCTCCTGGGCTCCATCGTCTGGTCGCAGCAATCGGGTATAGGAAGGGGGAAAAGGGGGAGCAAGGCAACAGTGAGTACTCATCCAAAGTACTCGCAAGCAAGGAACTACACTACATATGTATGCATTGGTACCAAATGGAAAAGGGGTATCATATGTGGACTGAACTGCAGAATGCCGGAATAAGAGGGGGGTAGCTAGTCCTATCAAAGACTACGCTTCTGGTAACCTCCATCTTGCAGCAGAAGAAGAGAGTAGATGGTAAGTTCACCAAGTAGCATCGCATAGCATATTCCTACTCGGCGATCCTCTCCTCGTCGCCCTGTTAGAGAGCGATCACCGGGTTGTATTTGGCACTTGAAAGGGTGTGTTTTATTAAGTATCCGGTTCTAGTTGTCATAAGGTCAAGGTACAACTCCAAGTCGTCCTGTTACCGAAGATCACGGCTATTCGAATAGATTAACTTCCCTGCAGGGGTGCACCACATTTCCCAACACGCTCGATCCCCTTTGTCCGGACACACTTTCCTGGGTCATGCCCGACCTCGGAAGATCAACACGTCGCATCCCTACCTAGGCACAACAGAGAGGTCAACACGCCGGTCTAAATCCTATGGCGCAGGGGCTTGGGCCCATCGCCCATTGCACACGTGCATGTTGCGAGGGCGGGCGGTGAGCAGACCTAGCCTCCCTTATACAAGAGCAGGCGTTCCAGTCCAACCCGGCACGCGCCGCTCAGTCGCTGACGTCACGAAGGCTTCGGCTGATACCACGACGTCGAGTGCCCATAACTATTCCCGCGTAGTTGGTTAGTGCGTATAGGTTAGTGGCCAGACTCAGATCAAATACCAAGATCTCGTTAAACGTGTTATCTTGAAATAACCGCGAAAGCCGACCAGGACCAGGCCCACCTCTCTCCTAGGTGATCTCAACCTGCCCTGTCGATTCGCCACAAAGATCCACACAGAGGGCTGTCGAGAAAGTATGTCCTTCCAGCCCCCAATTCGTGAATCAACCGCGGGTACTCCTCGAGCCGACCCGTCTTTTGTCACCACAAGTATCATATATTATGTATAAGTATATACCCGTGACCACCTCCCGAGTGATCACGCCCGATAGTATAGCATGGCAGACGGACAAGAATGTAGGGCCACTGATGGTAAACTAGCATCCTATACTAAGCATTTAGGATTGCAGGTAAGGATTCAACAGTTGTAGCAACAATGACAGGCTATGCATCAGAATAGGATTAACAGAAAGCAGTAACAAGCTACACTACTCTAATGCAAGCAGTAGGGAGAAGAGTAGGCGATATTCGGTGATCAAGAGGGGGGGCTTGCCTGGTTGCTCTGGCAAGAGAAGGGTTCGTTGTCGATGTAGTCGATCACAGGGGTACCGGCAGCGGTCTTGGGGTCTATCGGAAAGAAGTAACAGAGGGGGAACATAATAAATAACAGAGCAATCAAAGCAACACGAAGCATAACATGGTGATACGAGGTGCTAGGGGTGACCTAACGTAGTAGGAGGTGATACCGGCAAAGGGGGAAAACATCCGGGAAAGTATCCCCGGTGTTTCGCGTTTTCGGACCGGTGAACCAGAGGGGGAAAGTTGCGAGTTCGATAGGTTAGGGATATGTGGCGGACGAACGGGCTGTGTATCCAGATTTGTCTCGTCATTCTGAGCAACTTACATGTAGAAAGTATTTTCATCTGAGCTACATTTTATTTTCTATTAATTTAAAAAGATTTAAATCATTTTTAAGATTTATTTAATTATTTTAATTCAACATTATCTAGAATAGTGCATGCTGACGTCGTCAGCAGTCAACAGAGGTGTTGACTGGTCAAACTGATGTGTGTGTCCAGTGGGACCCACATGTCATACACTGTTTAGGTTAATCAGGGTTTAGGTTAATTAGTTAGGCTTAAGTAGTTAACTAAAATGATTAGTTTAAACTAATATAGAATTAATTAAGACGTCGCGGCAAACTGGCGCGGCCAGTCGGGGCCACGGCGAGCGGAGGCGAGGGGTGGCGCCGGCGGCATCACGAGGCGGCGCCGGAGTGTGGTAAGGCGAGGCCAGGGCTGGGCGTGGCCAGGCGGAGGCGAGCGGAGGCGCGTCCGTGGCTGCGAACGGGCGAGGCTGGGAGGGCGCAGGCCGGCGTGAGGACGCGCACGAGCGCGGCCCGGCCGCGGTGTCCGAATGGGCAGGGGGTGCGATAAGAGGGGGCAGGAGGCCCGGGGCCTCACCGGGGTTCGAGGCAGTCTGACGACGGCGGTAATGAGGTCGGGGCGGCAACGACCCGGGGAGGAGGTGAGGAAGCACGGCGGCGACGACGGGGTCCGGCGAGTCGGAGTCACGGTGGTGGTGCTCCTGTGACGTGGTGGTGGTCAGCAACGGCATAGGGCGCAGCGGCAGGGCGGCGTGCGTCGACGACGGGTGGCCGAGCCGGAGGCGCTCCGGGCGGCGGCGACAGGCAACGGGGTCGGGAGCGCTCCGAGCTCAAGGCGGTCCGGTGAGGAGGAGGACGAGGATGGGGTGGCGACGGCAGCAGGGCAGCGCCGGCGACGGGCGCCGTCGTCGAGGTCGCGGGGCGGCGCGGGATCGGGGTGATCCCGATCCAGATCAAGGGGGGAGGCGCCAAGGAGAGTGGGGGGGATCGGGGGGAGTGGGTTAGTGGTTAGGGTTCGGTCTGGGTTGGCCAGGGGTATAGGCCAGGGAGAGGGCCGGTTAGGCCAAGTAGGCTAGTTGGGTGGGATGGGCCGAGGCCCATGGGGAGCCGGGGAGTTTTTCTTTTATTTTCTTTTTTCTTTTTTTTCTTTTCTGTTTTAATTTTATTTCCCTAATTGTTTTAGTTTTGTAAAACATATAGTTAGCACCTAAATTACTAATAGTAATTATACCACTGCCACAATTATTCTTGTAGTTATAAAAAGTAGTTTTTAACAATTTAATTATTTAAGAGACGTTTAAATAATTGTTTCAGCGTCTGTTCCTATTATCTAGTGCATTTAAACATTGTATGTTAATTTGGATCCACCACCATAATCATCTATGATTTATTTGCTACACTTTGAACATTTTAGATTTGACTTCTTCAAAACTTTTACCGTTTGACTAGATTTTGAATTTGAATTCGGAAAGAGATTTGAATCATCGTGAAACTAACAACAGTAATCATGGTGACGTGGCATCATTAGTAGATGGTTACTGTAGCTTAACTATCTGGGCGTCACAATTCTCCTCCACTACAAGAAATCTCGTCCCGAGATTTAAGAGGTAGAGCAAGGGGGGTATGTCTGGTTACGATATTCTAACAGATCTTATCGGTCTTGGCTGCTCTTCTCGAAGAAGTTAATCCCTTTCGTTGATGTCTTCGGTTCTCTGTTTCGGGTCATCATGATGAAGTAGGCTTCCTTTCTTCAGGAACTCCATCGTACTTATGAAGGATAAGGGGGTATTCCGGGAGAGCGGGTCGCTACAGTGTTGCTTATCTGGTAGATAACATCACGGAAGGTGGCGGGAAGTAACTCTTGATTTGAAACTTAAGACATTATCGAGAGCAAAGTAAGAACGTACCATGAGAAGTTTCCAATGGGCGGGCAATCGTTGGATGGCCTAATCAGAAGGTGAAGGGGGGTTCAAAGCAACGAGAATAAGTATTGCGTCTGATACCAAAGTAGATTTCAAGGAAGATGACCCATGAATTACATACGAAATCAAGCGCGAGGAATAACTTTGGCAACATGGGTGTACAGGAGAGTCAGGTTTCGATCATGTGGAACTGTGGGTTATGGGCCCACCATGTGGTTAAAAGTAGGAAGGGCATTGACATCTTGCACGGTCATGATAGCAAGACATGTC